CGTCGAACTGAGTCGTGGATAAAGTTAATTAAATTCTCGTCGATAAAAAAAGAAAAGAGAAAAACTGAAATTTATTTTTGGACAGTAGTTACGAATCAGAGGTCACGTTGCATGGCAGGTAAATAAGTAAACGAGGAAAAGTTCAATAAGAATATAATTGCAGCAGGGAGGATCTTCATGGGAATTCTAGATACATCAGGAATGATTTATTCAGTTAAAACGGAAAGGAGCATAATATTATTATAGGGGAAAACGAAGGTAACTGAATCGTATCCACGAAAGAGAAAGTTCAACGTATTTGTTTCGGAACTGCGCGACAGTGGCGATGCATGAAACATAATATAAAGGGGCTGTAGCTAGGGGAGAAGAGGCACAAAGAAAGAAAATAATCGCTTTGCGTTTCGACTGGCAAAATTTATTCAATCGAATACCGACTTATGCCTTCGCCTGCTGCATTTACATTTTTTTTTGGAGGAAAAATTAATTGTTGTACACGTTTTTCTGCATCTAAACTAACAAGAAGAATTATTGTTACTATAGTAAGTCTCTTAATTATTATTTAAAAATGATAATAGTAATAAGCGACAATAATTATTGGAAATCTATCACTTGATAACATTGATTTTACAATACAATGATTCACGATATTATTTTTATGTTTCTCACTTTCTAAATTTTAGCTTTTCAAATCTGACTGAATTTCAGTTAATCGAGCGCCAACGATTTTTTGTCGAAATTTCAAAATTGTTTGTAAATTTCAAATTTTCGCTTCGTTGGAATGTTCGCGAGTACGATAATTAAAAAAAATTTGCCGAGCGCAATTCGAAACGCGTGTAATAAAAGTTCTCTCGCTATCGGGAAAAAGTAGAAGCGAGGTAACTATGTATTGCTAGACTCCTCGAGGCAATAGGCTCGGAAGAGAGCAATGCCATCCGATCGATCGGTTTACGTCTGGGCGTCCCGACGCCAGCTGCAACGTACGCTTGTACGTATACAGAGTGTTCAATCCAACACGGCTTTCTCAGTGAATATCACCGCCGATTTTTATATATTTTTAATAAATATAAAATCGTGGTCGATCGAAATTTATATCTTGATCGGCTGCGTGCACAGGCAATTTCGTCGTAATGTTGCAACAATGTTGCACACGTGATCGAAATAAGTATCAACCATTTCGAAAATTAATTAATTATTTCTATTCGATCGTTTACAGATGTTTGAAATATCGCAAGACAATCGGTAGTCCGCTCGAAATCATTTTCACTCGAATTTCCCACGCACATTTTTCCACATGATCATCCGACATAAAAGACGAATTATTAGAGAAAAGAGAACGAAATTTCATCGGTGAAGAAACGCCAGTTTCAATTGGAATGAACACCCTGTATGCAGGGGTACAAATTTTCCCTTTGCATAAACTGCCATTGGGAATCATATTTCTATTTTTTTTTTTTTTCTCTATCATAATATTTCTTAAAAATTTCTTTCTCTTAAAATGCTCTTTCTTTTTTTTTTTTATTCTTTCAAATCGTTTATTATTAAGGATTGAGTCATGAGCCAAGAGGATCAAGAAAAGAGTATGGATAAGAAAGAGATCGCGGAGGAGGAGAGAGAGAAAATGTTGAACGCTGAAAACACAAAACACACAGTGGCATCGACCGCACCAGACGCGGAGACCGAAGACCAGAAACCTAAAAAGAAAATTCCAATTGGCGGTATTAAGATGCCCGGCTTCTGTCGTACAAAGAGCAAAGAACTTTGCAAAGTAATGACAAGTGAATTTCTTTCCTTTTTAATTTTCACTTTTGAAAAATCCTGCTTCTCGTGTTTGTCCCTTTTTTTTTTTTTTTTTTTTTTTTTT